GTTGTTTAAAACATATGAAGAATGGGGCCTCTCTGTAAATGAAAACAAAACGCAATACTTATGCATCGGGAATAAAGTAGAAGATCTAATGGTGAACGAAAATAAAACAATCAAGAACTGTGAGGAATATATATATTTGGGAACAACAATCAACAAGAGTGGGCGCACCGAAAAAGAGATAGAGCAAAGAATCGTAAAAGGAAAAAGGGTGATAGGATGCCTAAACCCGATGCTATGGTCAAAAGAACTATCAAATCAAAGAAAGCATCTCCTCTTTAACTCCATCTTTAAAAGTGTAATGCTCTATGGATGCGAAACATGGCAACTTACTAAATCCTTTGAGCGACGCCTACTTGCTAGAAAATCAAGGCTTGATAGAATACAAAATGACCATATCAGAAATATAATGGGAGTCAAGTCAACCATCATTGACGAAATTCAAAGGAGACAACAGATCTGGTATGGTCATGTGAAAAGAATGGACGACGACAGGCTGCCAAACCAAATTTTATAATGGACGCCAAGGGAAAGAAGGAAGAGAGGAAGGCCAAAACAATCCTGGCTCGGCATTCAGAAGGCAATGTCGGAAAGAAACCTTCACCCTGGCGAATGGAATGACCGACGTAGCTAGAAACTGGGAACCGGAAAGCGGAGAACGCTATAAAAAACCGGGATAATAAAAAACAAATTTTTAATGACATGAATATCCGTCATCTATTTTGATATTTTTCAGTATTTGCAATAATTTTACATGCTGTACTTTATCGAATGCCTTTTCGAAGTCCACGAAACATGCAAATACATCTATTTTTTGGTTACGGCATTTTTGTAATAGGATGTTAAGCCAAAAAGTGCCTCCCTGGTTCCCAGGGCATTTCTAAAACCAAATTGGGTATCTTCGAGATCATCGAATTTGCGTCTAATTCTGTTATGAAGTATTCTTAGGAAAATTTTAAGAGTGTGGCTCATTAGGCTAATTAATCGATATTATGAGCATTTTCTCACATTGTGTTTTTTAGGTATTGCAACAAAGATGGATTTTAGCCAATCTGTGGGAATCACCCCGGTGTTACATATTATATTAAACAGTCTTACTACTACTTTTATGTTATCATCCTCTATTAGTTTCAGCAACTCAGTTGGTGTATCATCTGGACCACAAGCTTTTCTAATTTTAGCATTATTTATAGCATATTCTACCTCGCATTTCATAATTTCTGCGCCGTCAGTGCAGTTTTGGTAGAATTCGGCAATATTATTCCTGTCATCTTCAAACAACTCTAATATATACAGCTGCCATTCTTCTCTTATTTCGTAATCATTTACAATAATTTTGTTAATATTATCAATGAGTACACAGGGAACTCGTTTTTTAAATATGTTACTCATTTCTTTTAGTTTTTTGTGCACAAAATTCAGGCAAATTCCCCTTTAAATATTTCATGTCTTTTGGAACTGCGTCATTTCTCACTAAATTTTTGACAACCAGTTGTATTATACAAATCGTCTGTAAATATTACAGATCGGTACAAAAAGACAAAGAAAAAAGCACAATAAAACATTCATAAAAATCCCGAACACATTCCGACCATACCCTTGCCTATAAATAAAACATTAGCCATTTGTTTAACGGATATCGCATCGACTATCGATTTTAGATATATTTGAAGAAGTATTCAAAAATAATGGAGGTTTGTGTCTTAAAGCGACGCCCTGGTTGGTATTTTTCAACAAAAGATCGTTGACTTTTCATCTCTTTTTTTCAAATTTTTAAGAAAATTTTAAGTTTAGGAAAAGGCCAGAAAAATCAAAATCACCACACACCAAGCAAATCCAGGAGAAACACTAAATTATTCCAAAGAGTGTTTTGAAAGTAGTTTTATTTTGAGGCTGCAGTCATTAATTATAAGGGCAAGATAAGTAAAGCCTCTTGATAATATCAAGCTTCCGCCAAATTGATTTGCTTGATCAGGCATTGATATTGATATAGCATATAGCATATTGATATGCTAAAATAAGTATAAATTAATTTTTAGTAGTTCAATGAAAGACGAAAGAACATTGTATAAGAAGCATTAAAACTTACAACATGAGGTTAGTCCATAGAAATTTTTACATTATTATATTATCGTGACTTTATTGACAGCAGCTCTAAATAACGATGTAGTTGATTTTCCATACCATTGCCTTAGATTTTTCAGCCATGATGTTCTTCTTCTACCAGGACCACGATTACCTTGGATCTTTCCCTGAATAATCAGATGTAAAAGATCATATTTTTCAGGGTGTCTCATAATGTGACCGAAGTATTCCAGCTAGCGTTTCTTTATTATATTGACCAGTTGTGTTGTTTGGTTCAGTCAGTCTTTACATTATCACAAAACAATAAGTTAAAAGTTATTAATCTATTAACAATTAAAATGTTTTAATTTTTGCAGACTTAGGAAGAAGATATAGAAAACAGCATCCCATACCTTGACATGGGAATCAAACCAAATGCACAAAACGTATTAAGTAATGAATGGTATAAAAAACCTATATTTAGTAACAGATTTAATAACTACTATTTATAACATCCATTTTACTTGAACTAAATTTGATATTGACTTTAAAAAGCAGAATAATCAAATTATCACATAATAATGACTTTAATGAAGGATTAATGGAACTTAAAGACATTTGATTGGAGAATTCTTACCCAATCAAACTAATAAACAAATTTTTATTTAACAACCCAAATAATATTCGATCGGATTAAAGTCGAAGACGTCTTCCATCTACTGTATAAAAGAAACATACCAATCAATATTATACAAACCATAAAATCATCTGCCTTCATAATCGAAAACAGATAAAGATAAATGGAAAACTAACACAGTGTAGGTATACCAGTACAAAGCGGAGTCAGACAGGGTAAGTCGTTAAGCCCACTTCTCTTTAATATAATAATGGACGAAATAATACAAGCAGTATTAGATTAATACACATCTTCAATACAACAGACAAGAAATACAAAATGATAATATCAACAGAAAAAATCAAATGTATGGCAACGTTTAAATACCCACTACAATGTAAAATCTAAATTGATGGAAAATAATAAAGCAGGAAGCAAGGTTTAGATATCTGAGAATAGATATAACTAGTTACGAAGATGTTAAAGAAGAAGCACGACAAAAGCAAGTACATCGGAGGGATGTTTAATGAGAAAATGTGGAAGAACAAACACCCAAGACACGAGACAAAACCAAGAATCAATAAAGCAGCAATTATACCTATATTAACATATACGACGGAGACAAGACTTAATTCATCTAAAACGAGACGACTACTAGAAACAACAGAGATGAAAATCATCATCAGTTAGCGCTACAGCCCTTCGTGAGCCTGCTTCAAAACATTCTTCCATCCTTCCCTATCGAGTGCAGGTCTTCTCCAGCCCCTCACTCCAATCTCCCTCAAATCTTCCTGTATATCGTCCAGATATCTGAGTTTAGGTCGCCCCCTTCTTCTTCTTCCGACCGGCCTGTTTAGCATAGTTATTTTAGTAGGATCACTCTCATCCATCCGCATAACGTTGCCCACCCACCTTAGGCGGTTTATTTTGATGGTCCTCACAATATCTGCATTACCAAAAATTTTATAGAGTTCAAAGTTATATCGCCTTCTCCACAGACCCTATTCGTTTACTTCGCCATATATGGTCCTCAATACTTTTCTTTCAAAGACTCGTAGTAACTCTTCATCTCGGGTCGTCATTGCACATGCTTCCGATCCGTATGTGAGCACTGGGTGTATTATTGTTTTATAAAGTTTGCACTTTGTTGCTATTGACATACTTCTCGCTCTTAGTTGAGGGCACAGGCCAGATAAAAATACTCCGTTCAATATCAGGGAAAAGTCTGTTGAATAGGGAAAGAAGCGAAAACATAAGAAGAGCATGCAATATAGAAGATATAAGATATATAGAAGATATATAAAATAAATCACCAAATGGTCAAAGAATAGTATTGGCAGACCAAGAAAAAGATGGTGCAATAATTTAAACAATTTAGGAGGCCAACATTAAAAAAGAAACAGGCTTTAAAACCTACATACAAAAAGGAAGAAGAAGAATACAATCCCAATAACCGAATGATTGACATAAATAAACAGAACCAAATCTCCAGAATATACAATATCAATTCGCTTTTACGTCACTACGATATAAACCTAACAGTCTTTATCCCCAACATCTAATATTCCAACTAAAATAACTGTATATCAACAACACAGCAAACGTAAGAGTCAACAACATATACTCAGATAATTTTAAACTAAAATCTGGTGTTCGTCAAGGATGTATTATCACTCCCACGTTATTTAATACATATAGCGGATACATCATGCGTATTGTATTCGACGGATGGCAAGGAGGAATATCAGTCGAAGGTGGAAAAATCAGCAATCTCCGCTATGCTAACGACACTAGTACTAGCATCATCAACAAATGACCTTGAATACATTAATAACATACTAGATATTATTAGTCGTGAATATGGACTTAAAATTAATTTACAGAAGATCAAGGTAATAATAATCGATCGAATTAGAAATTACCAGCCGGAAATACGAAACGAAGCGGGGTTTCAGGTGGTATACCGTTTCAATTACTTAGGTTCTGTTATCACAAACAATGGTAAATGCGAAGAAGAGATACGTCTGTTCGTAAAATGTCTGTTCGCTAGATATGATTGTAATATATTTGAATATTGTTTATGCATGAATGATTTAAGTTTATGTATCAAACCATTATGCCAGACTTTATCAAACGCCTGTGCCACATCTAGGAAGGTTGCAGAACAGACTTTTCTTTTCTCTAATGATCTTTCAATTATAGCAGTTATTCTATGCACCTGGTCAATTGTCGAATGCTTATTTCCAGATCCAAATTGATGATCTGGAATTATTTTCTTTTCTTCAATTATTGGTAGGATTCTTCGCAGAAGAAGGAGTTTTTCAAACACCTTGGACATGACAGGAAGGAGTGATATTGGTCTATATGATGTCACCTCATTGGGGGGTTTCCCAGACTTTGGTATCACGATCACCTCAGCCATCTTCCATAAATCTGGAATATATTGTAGTGTAAAGGCAGCATTTATTAAATTTGTTAATTTTACGATTACTTTTCTTGGTAGATTTTTTAGCAGTCTTCCGGTAATGAGGTCATAACCTGGTGCTTTATTTGGGTCGATTTGTTCTTCAATTAACTCAGCTACTTCTTTTGGGGAAGTTGTCTTGATATTCTCATCTGTTTGCTTTGGTTCGGGCCAATCCTGGTCATCGTCTTGGTCATCTTGCAATTTAAATGTGTTCTCTAGATGAGTGGCAAATCTCTCTGCCTTCTGTTGATTATTTCTGGCCCAACTACCGTCTTCTAGTTTCATTGGAGGAGAATGTAATATTGGCCTTTTAATTCTTTTTGTAGCTTTCCAAAGCGAGTACTCTGTCTTCTTCTTCTTCACGTGCCATCTCCGCTACGAAGGTTGGCTATCATCATGGCAATTTTGACCCTGGAGGCTGCCGCTCGGAACAATTGTATGGAAGTGCAAGCAAACCACTCCCTGAGGTTTCTCAACCATGACATCCTTCTCCTACCTATGCTGCGCCTACCTTCAATCTTTCCTTGCATAATTAGTTGCAACAGTTGATATTTATTCCCACGTGTAATATGTCCCAGGTACTGTGATTTCCTCATTTTAACACTCAATACGACCTCCTTTTGTTTGTTCATCCTGTCTAATACAACTTGGTTAGTTATCTTATCCTTCCAGGAGATTTTTAACATTCTTCGGTACGCCCACATCTCAAATGTACTCTGTACTACTGTCGTTTGTTAGCTCTTCCAGATAAGATTTAATAGATTCATTCTTAATTTTCTGGATTTCTCTTTTAAGTTACTGGCTGGCATTGTTTAGGTTAGTTTTGTCTCGAGGGGCTCTCGTTTGCTGCCCTTTTCTTCTTAGTTTTATTTTTTCTTTTATTAATTCACGAATTTCTTTATGGTGGTTATTCCCTTTAACTTTTGTTTTCAGTATGGGAGTGCAATCCTATGCAGTTTTTGTTAGTTGAGGCGGTTTTTATGTTTTTTGTTTTTTTTTGGATGTTCTGAGAGACAAATTAAGTGGGGCCTGCGCAAAGTATCGTGGTTGTCTGCATTAATAGAGCTACGAACTATCCTGTGATTATTAATTCATGTTTTCTCCTCGGGGTACAATTTTATTTTTTAATTTAGTATTTGTTGTTTCGGAGGTTTGTGCTTCGATCGATGGAACGCATCATATCTTATTATCTCTCGCAGTAAACTAACCCTTCCGGTCAAAGTGGTTACATATAAAGATCTTAATGCGCTTCTCTCAAACGGTGCTTGTCAAGGCTTCGTGTAATTGGCAATATACGTGTATAGGTAGAATAGGTCCTACTAGTCGGCCTTGTGTTCAGATTTATTTTTGCGTTTTTCTTTATTACCGTTTTCCACATTATTGAAAGGCTTTGAGTATTATTCCTTTAATTTAGATTGTTGGAATTTTTTCTATTTCTTAAATTTCTCGATTTTCCTCGTCGCTGTTTGGTTTAGATTTCTTGTATGTCCTGTATTTAAAACATGTACCAGGGATGTTCTTCTCGATCATCGACATGATGTACCAGGGTATCGAAGAATATTGATTCTTTGATTGGTCTGTCCGATGTATGATTTGTCACAGTTCCCACATGAAAACTCATACACTTCTTAATTTTCAAACTGTATTTTTGTTTTTTTCGGATGGTACAGTAGTTGATAATTTTCTGTTGGTATGAAATACCGTTTTTATTTTCTGTTTTCTTGGAACTCTCCCTATTTTCTCTGCTGTACCCTTAATATACTGTAGAATGGCTTTTGCAATAGGTTTTTCGTCTGGTGGGTCCTTAATTCTTCCCTGGGCACTCAGATGATAAAAAAAACAAAAGTTGAAAATGTTAATATATGGGTAGGAATTGCTGGAGATCATATCATAGGTTCTTGTTATTAGGGTGTCTGTCCGTTTCAAACGTTGGCAATCATTCTAGCTATGATGACTTTGTTGATTGCTATATGAAATAGCTGTGTTGAGGTCTTTTTATACGATGTTATCAGGTTAGCAAGCCAGGATATTCTTCTTTGTCCTGGGGCCCTTTTACCTTCAATTTTACCTTGCAAAATGCATGGAAGTAGCTTGTATCTGACTTGATTTCTCATTATATGTCCCAAGTACTGCAGCTTACGGCCCTTTACGATGCTGACCAAATCCGTGGTTGTGTTCATCCTCCGCAGTAGTCCTTCATTGGAGAGTTTGTCTGTCCATGGTATCTTCAGGGTCCTTGTGTATAACCATAGCTCAAAAGCCTAAAGTTTTGATAGAATTTTCGCCTTCAATGCCCACGTTTCTACTCCGGACATAATAGGTTTGTATTTCAATAATATAATATGAATAGAACAATTATCTAGCACCTCCACCACCATCTCCAAAATAATATCATACCAACCTACACAAACTTATACCTAAACCAACAAGTTTCAACGAGTCTGATATACTTTCAGCAAAGAAGAAAGAAAACCACGATGTGAGCTCTCGGGGCATGTCACTATCCTCCTGTTAAATATTAAACAAATAAAAGAAGAGGAAGAAATTACTTGTTAGTAAGTATTGTTTTTCTTCCGCGAAACTTTAAAAACCCATTTTAAACATCAAAACGAATAATAAACTTAAGCTGTAATAAATTTAAAAAAGTGCTCCAATGCTACGTCCCTGTCCAGTACCTTGCCCCTGAAAGTGGAGTTTTAAAACGAAAGAACGTCCATAAAATCCTCAAGTCCGTTGGGTTTTGTTACCTTGGTAGGATAATAAAAATTCATCCTGTAAGCCTGCGAGATTTGGCATCGCGGATTCGGACCATTAGAGAAAACGACCGAATAGTCCCAAGTTATCAACAGTCGTTACGATTTTATAAATACTTCGTTAGTTGGTTACGTGACGGAAGAAACCGAACTTGCCTGATAAATTTCCCTTCGTAACAATGTAGCGGTACACAACGAAAAGTATTTCCTGAATGGGAAATACTTTTGGAGTGACTTCGGCGTAGGCTGGGGATTCGTGTAAGTGGCGCAGTCGGTAGGATTAAACAAGTGAAATTTTAAATCAACAGCTTTACCATTGTCACCTAATGTATAAAATTTAATTATTTTCATTATAGTAGGGACATTTGGATTCCCAGTAAAGAAAACTTACTGCTGCAAGATATATTCGCAAGGATGAAGAGATATGAACAACTATATAAACAGATATCCTGGTTTGTCAATTTCTTAATTATTGTTGTTGTTTTGATCATCCTGCAGTTTCTGTTCTATACATAAACAGACTTATAAATGTACATTCTAAATGGTATCGGATTTCTTAACTTCAGGCGCGAAAAACTCGCTCACAATAATTGGATATAGAAATATGATGCTGTTGATGTCACAAAAGCTTACTTTACGGAAACAATATTTAGTAAGCGAATATAGATAGAATACATAAACAACGTGCAACGGATACAGAAAACCATTAAAAAAATGAAATTTAAGAAATAAAAATAGGCCGGATATAGTTGAATTAATATAAAATTTTCGTCACGTTATCAACAAACAACTTTTAGTGGTTAACATAAGAAATCATTTTGATCAGTGGTATCTTTCAAAAATTGAGTTATTCTTTTTTTTCTACTTTTATCTAGACATATTGCCTGCTATTCTATTGTAATATTGTCATTATACCTGCTTCTACAGATTTTCTACAGTTTTAACCATACATATTTATAAATGGCCGTTTTTGTTTGTAAGTTTACAAGTTTCTTATTTGGTATTGTGTTGGCAATGAATTAATGGTTTACTAGTTTTCTGACTCCTCAATATTATTGTAACTAGATTATAGGCGATATTTTAGATATGAACAGTTTACAATTTTTGAAATAATTTGTTAAATTCAAAATATAATTCTTAGAACAGTGACTTTTTGAAACAAGTTACATTTGTTTTCATATTAAATTATTGCGTGATCATAAGAAAAAAATGAGCGGCGACAGTCACATATATAAAAAATACGTTAAAAATTTTTTTAAACCCTGAACATCAATTTTGCAAAAAAATTATTTGTGGTCAGTTTTAACCAACATTACACTCAGTAGCACGAAAAATGAAGCACTTGCTTTTTTAAAATAAAAACTTTGAAAAATTAATTTTCTTTAAACTGTTATTATCATAACGTAAAGAGAAACGAAACAAACTGTTTTAAGTAATTTCTAATAAAAGTTTAACTTTTGAACAAAGAACTTTTTTAGTAGATATTAATTTAAAAATTAACTCATTCACGACAAACCGTCACACATGTGTGACGGTGAAGTGTTCGTAAGAACTGCTGACACACATGTGTGACACTAAACTTATGTGATAAAATGTAAAATGTTTTTACCCCAGTTTATCACAATGGGTCTAAATTTGGCCACAGTAGACCTGAACAATCCTTCTTTTACACGCTATGGTTGGGTTGTAATCTCGACGTTAAAAAAAAATAACCTATACATTTATAGCACGAAACATGTCAAACACGAAAAGTTCATTTTGGAGAGAACTTAAGTCTTGACGAAGCCCTCTTACTGTGGAGAGAACGGTTAATATTTCGAAGTATATGCCGAAAAAAACTAGTAAATATGGAATAAAAATTTATGGGATTACTAGCTCTGATGCGTTTTTACTAAATTTTCTAATCTACCTCGTCAAGAGGACAGAAGTAAATGAAAATATGCATGCGTTTAAAGTAGTTAACAGGATTCTTACTGAGTATTTAGAAAAGGGGCACACTATATACATAAGAGGCCAGAAAAAATTGAAATCAGTGATGATACGACTAGAATTGCGTTATGCCAGGAATTGACAGAATCAACCAGATAACTTCATATTATGACACACTACGAAAAACTTTCAGATAGTACATGAAAGTTTTCTTCCACTTAGTAGATATTTGAATGTGGAATGGCAACTGGTTGTGGAATAAACATAGAAACAAGTCAAAGAAAACAAGAATGTCGTACCTTCAGTTTAGAGAGGAAGTGATCAAACATTTATTGGAACAAACAGAACGGCCAAGCAGAAAAAAAAGTTGTTGCGGAACATAACTTGAAAAAAGAAAAAAGCGGAAAAGTTGATGACAGTGCATTGAAAGCAAAAAAGGGCTGTCACCTGGTATACATGTCAGGAATGTAAGGGAAGTGACGGACAGCCCACTGGATTATGTGTTACACCCTGTTGTGCTGAGTGGCATAGAAAAGACAATTAGGTTATGTTCAAATTTTTATTACTATAAACTAGTGTCGCACATGTGTGGCATTATCCAAAACATTTATTTTTTTTCCTTGTTCCACAATCAGTTTGACTGGACAGGCATAAAAATAGGTTGGTCGCATTCGTCGGTTTAAGGAAAAAAACGTAGGTAGATTTTGTAATAAAATGACGCTCAATTAACAAAAACTTAAATTATATGTTCAGACAAACTGATTTTAATGATGAATGTTTCCTCCACGTGCTTAAATTATTGCCTGAATTCTCCTTGGCATCTCTAAAATTAAATGAGAAATGTGCTGTTGAGGAATAAGTTCTCATTTCTTTAAAAGGGCTTCTTGTAACTCATTTAAGGTTAAAGGGGCAGAAACACGACTTCGTATCCTTGGCCAAGCATGTTTTAAACATGTTCGATTGTGTGCGTCTGGATTCAATACTGACCAATCCATTACAGGAATGTTTACTTCATTTAAATACTTAAGTGATTCTCGCACTGTGATGCTTGGCATTATCGTGCATCAGAACAAAATC